GTTTTGAACTAGAGGAATAGATGTTTCTACCAGTTTTCAGTGTAATAATATGGATGTAAAGCCACTTAAATACAATATGACAGAGTATTAATTAATCCTTCACCATCATTTTGCAGAATCACTTTCTGAGCCATCCAAAATAATTGCTGAGCTTCAGGATAAATTGGTAGTTTGCTTTAAAATCAAATGCTGTTCAGTGGTTTGCAGGAAGGAGTTTTTATGGAGTTACAGGTATTCACCAGACATGACGTGGCTGGAGGAGCATGGCCAATGTAGACACCTGGAGCCAAAAGGCCTCAAAATAAAAAGCTTTTTAGAAGGTTATCTCTTTTTTTGCAAGTTCTCAAGTGTTTGTATACTGGTGTAAATAGAGAATTAGTTTCATATTGCATCAAAATGTTTATCTGTTTCTCCTGCTGGCTTTTAAAATTTTTTTAATTGAATTTCAGTCCCTTGTACAGCTTAGGTTTTGTATAAGGATTGCAATTCATTTAAAATCTTTAATATGTTAAATGCAGTGCATTTTAGCTAAAACACATCCTACACATTATTCAGTTAAGGTTAACCTATTAACAGTTAAAAATAATTATCTTCATTCACTTAAGAAAATTGAAGGTGTTGGATACTTCATAGAAACTCAAACTTGTCTTTCATCAATATTCATACCTGGAATTCTTGAAACAAAACCAAACCAAATTTGAAAAAAACCCCATGTATTCCTACGGATTTTAACTGGATTTTAAAATTCTTATTTTTATTTCTGCATTTGAGAAAACATACTGCAGTATGGTAAATGAATTCTGTGAGTTGTGTATTTGTGTTGATTTGATTTGTGTGTATTGTAGTGCTCATTATAGTTTGACATCTTACTGTCAGAATACTCTGAAAGTTCTGTAAAATATTTATAGAATTATGAAATCTTTTGCAGCAAGCTGGTTTTTTGCTCATTCTGTAATATGAAAAGTATATTGTTAGATTAAACTTTTCAGTAACTAAACTCAGAATTTTTTCTGACAGGTGATTTTCTTTCAATAAATTAATCATTTTCATTTATCCTTTTAAAAAGCAACATTACAAAGCAAAGTGCTATTTGAATGTCTAGACTTGTGACAGCATCTGAGAATACCCTTCGTTTGATTTGTTTCTTAAAGGGGTTGTGTTTTATACTACCTTTTTAATAAACAAACTCATGAATAGAACAAGTCTCTGCTGATTAGTTTCAAGGTAACATATTTGTCTTTTTTTCCTCAGTAAAAGATACCATAGCATTTGGTGTACAGGAGCTTCAGTTTATAAGCCACATATATTAATGTACCAGAGCTTCCAGCTGGACCCACTAGACAAGTTGCTGGAACTTTAAGTGGGAATATGGTATTTGTTCCCTATTTATGGATTTGGTCTCAGCCTTCTTCCTGGCTTGGGATGTTAATGGACCTGCATGGAGAGAAAAGGAGCAGGAGGGATCACTGCAGACGCTGCAGTTAAAATTGAGATTGTGAAGAAGTTTTTAATAAGGACAAGTAGAATTTAAATTTTTATTCTCAAAGGTTTTTAATTTTTTTTCTTCAGTGTTTTGACACTTTGAATGCTTCAAAAGCACTGGAAATCAGTCATTCCATTCCTGTACTGAAGAATAGGGATGAAAATCCCATTTTACCTGGTAGCTCTTTCTAGGAGCTTTAAACTGATGCCATCTTAACCTGAGGAGAGCTTTAACTGTCAGCACGAGAGGAAGATCTCAAATAAGGTCTTGAAAAGCTTTAGCGGAAGGAAATCTCTGCCATACAAGACAGTGTAGAAAAGGGAGTCAGAGAAAGAGCAGTGGAGATGTTGAAGACTCTTGCCCTGCTGGTGGACTGGAATCCAGTCTGTCTCACAATGAAAACGTGTTTGCGCAAACAGTGTGTCAATAAAGACTAAGCACTGTCATGGGAACTCTCCCAGCCTGGTAGTTAAGTTGTTCTGGGAAGGGCACAGGGTGGATTCATACGTATTTAGGCAGAGGGAATTGGATTGTGTTCTCCAGCTTTCTGGGTGAGTAAACAAACTCCTAAGTTACTCTGTAAAAGACATAATGTCACCAGTTTGGTGACTAGTTCCTCAGTGTGTTTTTTCCAGTTGAGACTGGCAAGTTTGACCCTGTTTCAGCATTTCTGGAATGGTTGAAATTTGCTAATTTTGGTAAACTTGCTACAAAAAAACCCTCTTTCCTGCTACAGCCCTTAAAGAACAAGAATGATTTTTTTTTCCTTCCCTGTAGTTACTAAAACAGATCCAGCAAAGAAAAGTGAGAAAATTGATTATGCAGTTTATCTGGATTGGAAACAGGTCTTTTTCTCATAGGTGTTTGTTGTTACCAATTTAAGAGTGAATATTCTGTAACATAGGAAAAATCCTTTATCATCCTGGGCAAGTTTGGTTCATTGCCATATCTTGTTTATCATCTTACTCCAAACTTTTCCAAAGTCCACAGTATCTTCTTTATTGTATACACATTGTCATAAAAAAAAACAAACAAACAAACCTAAACCTACTTACAATCCTATTTTCCTCATTCCTGAAACCTCCTAACCTGGTTGACTCGTTGGAGTGCATTTCATGCATTCTTAGCAGATAGGCTGAAGGAAACGCCTCATTCAGTGCAGCTGGAGGCTAGAAAGTGTGGGGAGTTCATGAAGGTGGCTTGTCTTCTGCAGTCGCTGCGGTGCACACAGCGCTGGCCTGGCCCAGGAAGGATCCCGACCTGCTGGACACAACATGAGTGTCCCTCATCTGGAAAATCTGACTGACAGTGAGTTAAGGTAGGACAATTCACTGACTTCCTCAAATGTTCCCTTAATTATTCCCTTATTTGACAGGGAATGCCTGCTTGTTAAATTGTGGTTTAATACTTGAGAAGTGGGAGTTTTTTGTTTTTAAAACTGTTTTGAGCTACATGAAATCAAGAATGAAGTGTTCCCTGTCAGATGCTCCAGTGCTGCTAAATTAGTACTGCTGGCAAGTGTGGGGAATGTGGAAAATATTGTAAGTATTAGGTCTTGTGGTGGGCTGTCAACAGCCACCACTGTTAAGCCTGTGTTGACCATAGGTCCTTGTCCAGTTGAAGGAGAAATAACTTGCACTATTTTGCCCTTATTAACCCATTCTAAGAGTAGTGAGATATGAGCTGAGTCCCTTTCATCCTGAGTTCCACTTCTACTCTATTTTGGCCAATGGTTTGTGTCAGTCACAAGTTAGAAGGATTTCTGCCATTTGCAGACCTTGTGCTGGGTGATGGAATAATAGGAAGTTCAGGTAGTGAAGACTATAGTGCTGCAAATTCAGGTCCTGTCTCCTGGGACGTTAGAATCCTTATGCCCATACAATCACTGAGAGGACTGAGATGTAACCTATGTTATACCTAGCCTTCCTTTGCCTACTTGTTGGAAAGTGCAAGAGGTTTTTAAGGGAAACACTGGGAAAAAAAGAGATAAATGACCTTTTTGCCTTTAAAATACTTTATTTTTCCAGCATTTTAACTGGTCACAATCACACAAGCTGTTGCACACAAATAAATGATGCTAAAGGAGCCCAGAATAAATGTCAGGAGCTAGTTAAGCATGTTAATAAAGTGGTACAAAGACATAATGGCTTGTACTGAGTGAAGAATGGGAAAAGTGATCCTCTGGGCCAGCACTAATGCTTCGTAAATTGTATGTTGATGTGTAGTGCTGGTGCAGAGTAGGAAAAGCTGCTTTGCTTATTGCTGTCAAGATGACTTCTTGTCCTTTCTCAGGCCATCTGTTTGCTCATGTCTTTGCCAATTCTTGGATTGGAATTTTCAATGGCAAGTGTTGGCCCCTAGCTGAGCAATCGTAAAGTTCCTTAACCCAAATTGCAGGATGCTTTCTAAAACAAGACTGGGAAAAAACAGCATCTCTTCCTGTGCTCGAAGTCCTTCCAGTTGTGTGGCTGGGTTGTGCTAGTTCCTGCTTCCCCTCATGGGCCTTGGAAAGGTGCCTGTAAATTGGGAGGAAGTGTTTCTTAAAGTTTTCTATGTCTGGGAAAGCTGGGTCAGTTTTAAAGTTGTGAAACATTGTCTTCTTGTGAATCAGTGACCTTGCACTCCTTCTCCCACTGCTGTGTTTAGGTGAATCTAGGAGGATGGGGTAAAGCAATAGAAATTTTAAAATAAGGACTAAGGAGCTCCTGAGTTTGGACATGAGTTAGCTGTTGGTGACAGGAGATTAGGCCTGGCTGAGCAAGTGACCATGAGTCAGGGAGAATTGAACAGAGCACATGGTTGTGGGAGATGGAGGTAAACAAGCAAAACTAAACATGGAAGCAAATGATAAACAAGGACAAGAAGTTTTTAGGTGAAGGCTTAAGCATCAGAATGGGGATAGATTATGGCTTGACAACCTTAATCCTCATGTTTCCTAATACTTTCTGAATACTTGTCTTGCAGCCTGAGCAGCTTTTTTCATGTGCAAGAAAATTCTGAGAAACCATTTGAAGGCAGACTTCGCAGGCACTTCAGGGTATCCTTTGAGACGCAGATGAGTGTGGTGTTTATTGGGAAGCTTCTGAGGATTAGGGGATGTATGACTAGGAAAGAAATCAGATGAATGTGTTGAACTGGGTTAAGCAGTGGTGTGTATTACAGAGTTAGTTGGATGGAAACACATATCTAATGATTCATGAGGTTTTATGCAGTACGGCTGGCTATTGGCTAAAGGTTGCCCTGATCTCTGAAAAATAACAGCCTTCCTTTTGCTACCTAAATCAATTACACTATGCAGTGTCACGACCTGACAATGAGACTGGAAAATGGAATAGAAACAACAGGCACTTCACTGCATTTGTAGCCTGAGTCTTGCTAAATATGATTTTGATTGGAGAAGGACTTGTGAGCTCTGGCTGGGAAGTTGCTCCCTTGTGGCCAGAAACTGTAAAAATGCATTAAAATTATACTTCTCCAGGGCAAGTAGTGACATTCCTTGTCCTACTCTTACCATACCTGGCAGCAGAGATGTTTAAAGAGAATAAAAGAGAGCCTCTGTTGACTTCCTGCAAACTATTTTAGTGGCATTCCTGCCTTAAACCTGTTGTCTTACCTTAAATTCTGGATTGTCAACCTAACATTCTGGTTAACCCACCATGTGTGTTTTAGCAGTCTTGCTCCAAAATTTTAAGCAGCTGGCAGAACTACCATGTTCCTAGGTAAATTGTTTCAAACAAGAAAAGGTTATTTGTTTTATTGTCATTTTGTGGTGGTTTTTTACTTGAATTAGCCAGGATTTGAATTTCCAATTATTTAATCAGAATGTTGTTTTTCAACAGGTGAAGCAACTAATTGCTCTTAGAAGTCTTTTTGTTTTGGAGATCTGTGCTGAGAGCGATTAAGGTACTTCAGACTTTACCTTATCTAAAAATTATTAATTTCAGCTCTAATGTAGTATAGTGAGGTTTGGGGTTTTTGTTGCTCCTCTTTTGTTGAGTTTTTTGGTTTTTTTTCACTTTGTCATTGTTTTTTGAACAGCACAAAAACCTAAATTGGACAAAGCATTTTGATAACTTCAGCCCCCAAATTCATTCAGGGATAGTGCCACCTCTGAATTATTTTTTAAGTGTTTCAGTTCTTTCAGAGGGCACATTCGCACAGTACTACATCCTAAGCCCAGACTTACAAAGTCAGGGTGAGAAATGAAAGCTGGTGGGTAGATATGCCAATTCTGCCCAAGTATTTCATTTTAGAAGTATCTAATAGGAAAATCAGTAAAGAGGTGCATGGAAAAAGCAGAAAAACAGAGAATCTACTCCTACTAATGAGTGTTCTTCTGGCCCCTACCATTTTTGGGAGGAAGCTGGGCTCGCCACTCACTAGGCACTTGAAGTTGAATATTGTCTCTTTGCCCTGTCTGGCTTTTTTGGTTTGTGTTTTTGGGTTTTGTTGATTGGTTTTGGGTTTTTTTTTTGGTTTTTTTTTTTTTTTTTTTTTTTTTTTTTGCAGGGACTGTTGGTCATTGAAAATGGAAGAAACAAGGAAGCTTTCCCCAAAGCTGAGTAAAAGCAAAGAGCCTGTGAAAACAGAATGGGGATCTCAGAGCGTGGTGTTCACCTATTTCCAAGGGGACATTAACAGCATGGTAGATGAACATTTTTCTAGAGCTCTCAGCAATGTCAAGAACCCCCAAGACCTGAGCACAAAGCACAGGGGTGAGACTGTTGTCCTGAAAAACGGTGAGCTCCTTTCCCTGTGTGGGCCTGGTGTTGGATGGTATGACTGGCTTTTACTAAGGAATTTAAGATCCCTTGATCTTAAATTTGAAATTGTGTGCAAACAGAAAGCAAGAGACTCATACTTGTAAAGCCCTAGGATATGTAGCTGGGAATTCCTGGATAAATCCCTGTTATTAGTGGAGTGATTCCTAAGCTTTCCATGGTCCTGTTGACAGGACTAGGTCATCATTTTCCAGCCAAGTGTCCCCATCACTGCTGAATGCAATAAGTGCATTATGACTTAAGTTGTCATCTTCACAAAAATATATTTGTCTAAGCTTGCAGCTGTCAAAAACCTGCCTAAGTTGGTGGTTGTGTAGTGCACATACTACAGTATAAATACTTAGTAGAAAGATTGATGGTGGTGGTTTAATCTGCTTTTATTATGAATTTGTGGTTGATTTTTAAGATAAGCAGCATTAAAGTGATTTTGTGTTTCTGTAAAAATGAATATGCAATCTGGCAGCATTCCCTTAGAAGTCCGCTGGAATTTGCCTTGGGAAAAAAGTAAGAAATGATGAGACTTCAGATGCTTTTTTTCTCTTTTTAAGTAGACAACATGTCTCCCCATCAGTGGAATTTCTCTTCGCATTGCTACAAACCATATCCATCATCTTCTTCAACAAGCATGGCAACTTCTGCTCTGAATTTTTCTGCTGCTGGTGTGGTAGGCCAGTGCCAGCCATCGCCTCTGCGGAGTCGTCCAGCTCAACCTGCAGATTTATGGCCCTTCCCTCCAACTGGGACTCCCAGTGTCACTGGTTCAGTGTATCCTCACACCCTCCCTGACCTGCATGCAGCCGATGAGCTGATCTCTGACAGTAAATACAGTTCTCTTCTTGGCCTTCTGCAACAGGAAAGGTGCTTAACATCCATGCAAGAATGCACCATGAAGCAACACTCAAGTTCTGCTTGTATGACTGGACCTGCGAGGTTACAAAATATGAGTCAAAGTTCAGCTCCTGGGGGAGGTAAGAAAATATTATCGCTTTATTCTTTGATGACATCTGATGTAAAGTGACAGAATAATGCCATCTGTTGCTAAGCTTTTCAAGCCGGATCCAACTTCTGGCAAACTCACAGAAATCTTTTACAGTAGATAACCCTGGTATGTACTGTGGTACTTGGAATCAATTAGCCATATGGTATGGGTTAATCAAAAAATGTGCAAAAAAATGTGCCTACTCACACAATATTTCACCTCTGGCTTACATTGGAAAGACATTTTAAGTGACTATAAGCATTATTCATAGTGCTATCTTAATCTCTAATAAGCATGGGTATTAGGTGTGGTGTATATCAGATGCTCCCTCATTGGGACCAGAAAGGGGTGGCCAGTAAAGATCCCTGAGCAGCCTCTCTCACTGTGCAGGCTGTTAATTATGTTCCAAGTACAGGGTGGGAAACTGCAGCCCTTGCCAGCATGGCCAGGGGGTTTTTCTCCCTCCCAGTCCCTGTCTGTAGCTGGAATGGTGAGGGTACAGGGGCTGGTGGACCAGCCTTGCCTTGTCCCCTGGCTAAGAGCTCCTTGCTATGAGGTGCTGCTGCCCTGGCTGCCGAAGGCTATGGCTGCTCTCTGCAGATTTCCCAGAGCTAACGCAATTCACACAGTGGTGATTGTTGCTTATTATCCACAATTACTAGGAATCCCAATCCGAGGTACTACCAGTGCACGGCAGAAAGATGCCTGAAGTTCATTTATGTCCCCACAGCATCTAGATCTGCTGGATAAAATGTTCTCTTGTGAGTAATTCTGCCTTTGAGAAGGTCTCTGGGGTCAGGCTTCCTGGCCAAAGTGCTGATGCCTGTTGGGGTACATCTGCATTGCTGTTCCTGGGCATTCCCCAGTCAGGTAGCTTGACACTGGTCTGCAAGGAAAAGGGTTGTGAAATTGTTTAGGGAGTCTGCTGGAAAAATACAGTGTGTCCTTCCTGGTTCTTCTAAACAAAAAACATTGGGCATGTGAAGAAGCAATCCTGAGGCTTAGGTTTTGAAAAATAAGCAGCTCTGAAATACCTCCTAGTTACCAAGTTTCAAAACTGCATCAGCAGGAATTTAGCAGAATGTGGGCTAAAGACTGCCTGCAGATACAAGCAGGAGTTTATCTACAGTTCCTCTTTTGAGGATACAACAGATCTATGTTGTTATGAGGACCTGACCGTATGTGTTTTGCTAACTCATTACTGCTAGAATGTCTAATGCCCTGTCTGTTCATGTTAAAGGGAGAGTGTCTGTATCTTCAGCTGGAATGCAAACTGTCTGCTTGTGGTACATGAGAAGAGGTTTTCTGTAGGTGTTGCACAGGCACTCACCCTAGACTTTGTGTAGGTAGTGAATGAGAGTTTAATTTCTTTAAAGACACCGTCTGAACTGGGATCTCATTTAAGAACAAGCTAAGGTGCCCTCTTCCCCCAGGGGGGCAATGCAAGCCTATGCCAATTCCTGGGAGCCCCAGGAATTGACTCCTTCAGAAAAAGAGCTATTTCATTAAATTAGTCTTGTGTTGATAACAGGAAAGCACTACTAACAACAGTGGACTTCTTTTCCCAAAAATTCAGAAAGAAAATGAGTGAGGAAAAAATTGAAAATGAAATGAAACAGCCCAGTACTCTCCAACCATTACCAATTAAAGCTGTTTCTTTCAGGATGTATACAGGGCCTTTCTGAATATTTGGGAGCCTCTAAGCACCACACATGTAATTCCATCCTTGTGATTATCAAACAACACAACAAGGATCAATAAGAAATGGCTGATTCGTGTTCACAGGGAGTCTTTGGCAAATCCCTAGGATATGTTCATTTAGTTCAGCTGCAGCAGTCCTTGTTTCCTGGCTCTATCTGTTAAATATACTACTTCTTGCTCTGTGTCATGTTTAAGAACAGCTGATATTTATATTTATGGAAGTGTATGTTGCTGTGCCAGACAGCACAGAGCTCCTCAGCACCTGTGCTATAGGCTGGGCTGCAAAAGCACAAGGTTTCTTTAGTAACTATGGTCTACTTTTAGCTCTGTGCTGAATCTCTGCTCATCCCCAGTAGTTTTTGTTTTGTTTTGTGTTTTTTTTTTAAGAGAGGAAAGGAAGCTCTTACCAAGGCTCAGAAAATCCCAGTGTAAGCCATGCCACTGCAGGTGAGTAAAGAAACCAGCAGGTTTAGAACAAATCAGACAGCAGTCTTGCTTATGCGTGTAGTATTGAAGATCTTCCTTGTTTGCTTTTGTATTTCAAAAGCTCATTTTCCCCGAAGATAGAACCACCACCTCCCATAACTACATTAATAAAGAAGAAAAAACCCCACTACATTATATTAAAATGAGATACATGGGGGTTTTTTTGCCCCTTTCACCTTAGTTTTTGTGCTTATACCTTCAGACTGCCATTTCACAATGCCTGTTTTGCACTCGCTGTCCAAGTTTCAGATCCCAGAATGATAGAACAGCCCTTGTTTTATACCTCAAGCATGCATGTGGTAGCACTGCTGCAGTTTGCACCAACAAACCCACCATACTCTAAGAAATTATTCCCAAAGCATTCAGGCTTTCTTATTTTTATTAGTCTCTTGGTACAACCAACCGTTGTTGGTTCTTTGATGTGCAATGTTTTGGGCATACTTTGAATAGGTCATTCTGGTTATTCTAGTAAGGGTTCTTTTGCACCAAACTCAAAGGTGCAATTTTATTTGCACAACATCTTAAGACATTGCAAGGACTGTGCTGTTTGACTGTCCTGATGCTGCTGTGTCTTTCAGGTATTCAGATTCATGACAGAAGACGAGATTTGTACTTCTAGCAACTGAATGTTTCTACTTTATTCTGAAAGAGAAAGTTATTTCTGTGAACTTTTATTATTTGCAACTGTGAATCAAGAAGAAATTACTACAGCTAGAAGAAAAACTACAGCTATCCTGTGTTTTTTCTCTCAGCTGGAAGAATACATGTACTATTTACTGTTTGGGGAATGACAAAATAATCCTTTTCTATACAGTAATTTTTATACAATGATTTCTAATGTTTGAGGTATTAACCTGGGCAGTATGTTTGTTGTGGCCATATATTGTCTATTTAAGACTTTTCATGTAGTCCTCTTGAAAGGACTCCTACCCTTTTAAATCTTTCTATGTTTATTAATTTACCACTCCTGATAAGAAGAGCAATTCTTATCAATGCAGTTGATAACCCGTAAATGCAGGGATGCAGTTAGCATAATTTCAATGCTGGACCTTCTTAGCTTGATTTGATATCTCCATATTGTTTAAAACAGTCTTAGGCCACTGGCAAGAGACTTCAGCCACAGGCCAGGAAAGCACATTATTTATGCTGCAAAAGTGCTGCAATTTATGACCATATTTGCAATTCCTAGGGATACTCTTCAGAAGTATATAATATACTTATGCCTGAAGGCTCTGTTTTGTCCTCTCACTAATGTATCATCATCCTCCAGAAAGCAGTGAATTCATAGGAGCTCTGAGAGGAAACCTTGGTTCTCATTGGGTGCAATTAAAATACCATTCAGCAAAAATCTGCGGGTTAGGAGTGTTCTATTTTCCCAGCCTCTCTGCAGATGTAAGAGATTCCTTTTGTAAATAAGCTCTGTGGGTTTATCTTTTCCTTCTCCATTGGTTATACATTAATATAATATAATAGAGCATGATTAGCTTTTTCTGACAGCTCTGTGTTGTTGCTGAAGGCAATTTGACCTTTGAGATGGCAGAGCTTGTGATTTTTATAGGACAAATCCTGAACTGGTATAAATGTTTATGACTGTTATATCAGATATCTCTGCTGCCACAGCTCCAGTTATAACACCTTGTGTAATTTTATAAATAATATGAGTTTAACAGCATCAGGAGTTTATGGTACTAATTCACAAACTGAGATTTTTTAAAAGGATTTATTTTTTTAATTTTACAAGTTTGCTCTAGCAGTTACATATTCTACATCAATCTGAGATCACAAGGGGAACTGTTTTAACTAAACTAATAAAAGATACACCAATGTCCTGTCTCGCTATAGATAAGCACTGAAAAAACCCCACTCCTTTTTAATATTCCTACAAAAAATCCCTTTCTTCTCTTTTAAAAATATTTGTCCAAGTAGTTTTGTTATCCCAACTCATTTAATTACCTGATTGTAAGGCTACATGGTAATATAATTTGACTTCCTCTATGAACCATAGCAAAGATTTCCTACCTGTATCATGTAAATCTGTCATACTAGCATATGCTACAATTCTATTGAATTATAATTCTATTAAAAATATTCAATTTTTTTTCCTTCCTCTTCCATCCCTTCCAAAGGACAATGCTTATTTAATTTCCCTGCAAGGTCTGAAAAGATAGTCTATTTAAATGGTCTTAAATGTAGTGCTTCCCTTGGGGGGCTGGGAATATACAAGATTACTTATAAAACCCTTGTTTCTGGTGAATCAGAAAAGTGGAGTTGGACAGTGGCGGAGGGGAAACCCTTGTTTTTAAATGTATGTCCCTTATTGCAAGAACAGGGAGGCATCAATGGCTCTGCCTTGACAGGGTCATGTTGAGCCATTGCTGCAAGGTTTGTGTCCTCATTGTCCAGCTGTCTGGCAGACCTGGGGAAAGGGAACAAGTGTCCAAATAGCCCAAAGGTCCCTGGACCCCTTGCCAGTGCAGGCTCCACACCAGGCACACAGGTGCTTGCTCGCTTCCCTGGCTTTCAGAGGAATGAGGATGGAATAGAGGGCTGCGGCCCAGAGGCTCTGCTACTCTGGCATTTTGTCCAATACCATCACAGCACCATGCACCAGAGTGTGCCCGGGTTTATGGCATCTCACTGCTCTTCTGCAATAAATATAGTTAACCCATCACTGCAATTTGCCTTTAATGATTTAGTATAAGAGAGTTTTGAACATTTCACAGCAGTTTCCTACATCAGGTATGCTTCTCTTAATACATGTATAGATTAAAACCATATAGATACACATACAGGCTCCTCTAGAATATTGTTTGTCTGCAGTGGAGTGTTTCTTGCATTCAGGATGTTCAAGCCCAGCGTGTTGCTGTGTTCCTGTGCTGCCCTGCTGCTGTCATGCTCCAATGACTGTCTTTACTCCCATTCGGCACGTACTCTCCTTACTGGCCAGGACTTGGCAACTGGGATGCTGTATCCAGCAGCTGCCATCTGGTGTAGCATCCCATGAGCTCTCCCCCCTTGGTCAATCCCCTCAGCCTTGGAAACATTAGCCACTTACCGTAGAGTCACCCCTACCAAGGGGAAAAGCAATCTCCCCCATGGACTTGGTGTTCCCACTTCCTCGGGTTTCTCCTTCCCTGTCACTGGCTTGGCATCCCAGGTGGCCACCCCCCTTCCCCTGGAGGCCAGGCCCCTCTGGCCAGCCCTTAGCCCTGCTCCCCACCCCTTCCTCTTCATAAGCTCCTGCTCCACGCAGTTCATCCTCTTTTCCCTGGGTTTGTCCTTTAGCAACTGTGTTACTCTGCTGGAATAAAATCTTGCAGAAGAGCCTTTCTTGCCTCTATGGCTGAGGCAGCTGCGGTGAGTGTTGAGTGGAGGTTTGACTGCATTGCCTGAATGTTAACTCAGCCTGTCTTTCAACAAGAGAGGCTTGCTGGGGACAAGAGATAGGCAGCAGCGCTTACCACTTTAGCACCCGCATTTTTAAGCTGGTGCTTTCCAGTTATCTTTGGTCCCTCCTCTGAATGCAACAGTCCTGGAGGTGATGGGAGGAGGGATGCTGGATGTTCCCCTTTGAACAGCTTCTGATCTCCTGAATGCTAATGGACCTCTGCCAAGACCATTCCTAAGAACAGACAGGGGCCAGGTGTTACATCCTTGTAAGTGTTCAAAAAGTGTGTGGATGGGGCTCTCGGGACTGTGGTTTAATGGTGAACACAGTGATGCTGGTTAATGGTTGGATTTGATGATCTGGGAGGTCTTTCCAACCATAATGATTGTATGATTTTCTATTAATTTACTGACCCTGTGAGAAACCGCTACTTTCCTTGAATTGGGCGTCCTCTAATCCAGGAATAACTTGTTTGCACAGGTAGCTTTTCTCCTGTCTTTTTCTGATGGACAGATGAGATGCCAACTACATGCTTTATGAGCTCTGGTCAGAGATGAATGCATCTCTGAGATGCATTAGTCTCAGAGATTGAAGTCAAGCGCTGGACATACCTGCCCTGTGTGGAGTCTAGGCCTTTTTTTACTCAGCTGCAGGAATGGGTGTGCGTTTTTTCCACCATCTGTGTCCTAGGACACAGACACTTGAGAGGTGCCTTGCTCTGACTCCTCGCATGAGCTGGCTCTGGTCCACCTCTGATGGTCAGAAAAACCTTGTGGGTGGCTGGGAGCAGCAAGCTGGTTTAGCTACTCCACCCTGCTTTAGTCACTCATTAGCAGTGTTAAAAATAGCCCCAGACTGCGGTGACAAACAAGAGAGATTCTTTTGCTGTGAAAGAATAACCTAAAGTGTTACGTATATTTTAAAAAAAATAGGAATACTCATCGCTTTCAAAGGAAACATGAGCTTTCATTTGCTTTCATTTCTGTTCAGGCGTCAATTAATTTGTCTCATCCCAGGTGAGCAAGGGACACCTCATGTACCCATGTGGTATGTAGCTTTTGGCAAGCACTCACTCGTCACTGGAATTTTTTACTGTCTTGTGGTTTTTAATCCCATTTTCTTGCAGGCTTTACCAAGTATGATCCAGAGTAAAGGCATTGTTGCACCACTTTGTTCTGTTTTCCTGCAGTGCCTGGTTTAAAACATTGCATGTTTTGGGCTCAGGGCTCTATTCCACTTAGTCACTGACCCACTGAGAATTTGGTTTGGTACTCCTTTGAGCTAGCATATATCATTACACTTGGAGGATTTCAGCACAAAACTGGTGCAAACAAGGTGGTTTTGGTGCCTTGGTGTCTGGGAGGGGTTTCAGTTATCACAGGCTGTGTCAGAGGACTGTGTGTTATTGGTCTGACAATATAGCTGCACAAGCAGCTGCACTGTGGTCATATGCTACAGATCACAATTTATTTACTGAGGAGGTGCAAAACTAACCTAGTGCTGAGCAGGCGGCAGCTGGGCTGTCCAGGAAAGCACAGAGGATGTTCTCAGGTTCCTGGAGCCATAATGGAGCTGGCTGAGCCAGTGTGAGCCAACTCAGATGTGGTGCTCCCCAAACAGGGTCCAGCAGGAGTGCCCAGGGTCCCCTGTGAGCCACCATGGACCTGGCTGAGCCCAATGCCAGGAGTTCACTGCTGATTCATGCTGTCCGCCAGCCTGGTTTCTAGGTGGGGTCAAGTTGGGCACAGCAAAGCCCTGAGCAAAGTGGCTGCTTCCCTGACCTTCATCCTCACCTCTTGTACTCCCATCTCCTTCCATTGCCCCAGCCCAGAATTTGCAAGCTCTGGATTTGTGTCTGACCAGGGACATTTGTGTTTTCCCCATCTATCTCTCTCTAAAAGGCTAATGCTGGAATCAGCACAGGCTTATAAAAATATTATCAAGCAGCATTTCATTCTGGAATGCAACACTATTACAGCTCTTGCTTATGACCTTTCCACCTGAGATAGGGATAAAATAACAGCTCTTTCCCACACAAAAATAAAACGTTTCTATGCTCAGAATTATAAAGCAATCAATTAGCTCCCAATACCATGTTCTCCCAGAGCAAGGTGTCACTTTAGATAGATTCCTCTGCCAAACAGAAAAACAAATTGAGTGGATGGGAGGAAACTGAATGTACTGAACTCCCAAAGGGCATCTCTAGTGACTGACCACAGCCTAAAATAATCCTGTACCAGCTGTCTGTTGGGCCCTGTCACCCTAGAGAGCAGTGCAGAAGCACCCATGCTGCATGGGCTCC